TTTTAAGGTTTTCTTAGGGGTTTTGTAATACCCAAAGTCTTTTCATGAAGTATTTTGGGGGAAAAAATTCTAAATGTGTTAAAACTTCCATTTTCACGTGTTCTGTGCTGCATTTATATTTCACATGGCCTCTCATTCTTGAGTTTTGAAAATACATACTTGATGAACCTTTTATGTGCACTGGCTAAGCAGACAGAGGGTAAATTAGAATCAAATACCGTGAGCTTTCTGTTTATGAAAAGCTTTATTTATTCTTGTAAATTGTTGCTAGATTTCTGCAATAGAAAAAAAGCTTATGGGTTGAAAATTTCTAGATTTTTTTTGGTTGTTTTTTTCCCACCACATTGCTTTGGAGGTTTAATCAAGGATCAATCCCCCCTGTGCAAAGTACTCTGTAAACATAGGAAACCTCTTGCAGTTCTTGAGAAAGAAAACTATTTATTTTCAGTGTTAAATGGTGTATCCATTTTTTTTCCTGTTTAATTTGAATGGACATTTTCTGAAATGAGGAAAAGATTATTTAAAAAAAATAAATAGTATCGAGATGGCAGAAAGGCACTATGAAAATCTAGAGCACTGTGGTGTAAAAAATCCAACACTGGAAGTTGAGTATTCTTACTATCGGGCATGAGACTGTTGTGGAAAAATTAAAAGGTGTGCATTAGCATGTGCTTAACTAATGATCTCAAGCATTTTTACATTCAGATTTTAAACCTCAACATTCCTGTGGCCCAGGATGTGTTCTCCGTTCAGTTAGAAGTCATTTTAGTAATACCTTCTGTAGAGCCTTGTGTGGAAAAAGTTCTGTGAGTATAAAATGGCACTGTGTTATGGCAGTTCTAACCTTGGCATCTAACATTTATAGAAAATTGCCATTCTTAATTTTTACAAAATCAATTTTTCTTGAAAATAAAATTAATTTGTTTAATAAAATCATCTAGCATTAAGTGTCATGAGTTAAACACAAATTATGAGGAGAAGAAGCATGGCTACTTAAATATTAAAAAATGAAATGTGACTATAGTTCAACAACCTCTTTTTTTTTTTCCTAAAAGAGGCTAATATTGGCAAAGCAATTGGATGTCACTCTCTCTTATGAAGCCAACTGAAAAGCGAGAATAGAGGCGATTTTCACTTTGCTGCTCCATTTAAATCTGGCCTATTCTTTTATATAAATACGCATTCCGAAATGGGAAAAAGGAAGATGCTGCCGGTGCAGAGTTTGATAAGAACCATTAAAACAACCTTTACCTTTGGACCCCTTGGTGTAATGGAAGGATCTCAGCCCCTGTTCTGGGCAAATGTCATTGCCTGGTAATAGAAGGCTTCATCTTCTCACCTAATGACTGACAAGTTTTTAGAGATGACCACGAGAGAGATAGCTCAAGGAGTTAATTTGTAACTGGCACAGACAACATCAAAAAGGTCTGTTAGTTGAAAAGTTTTCCACAGTTTATCTGTAGAACATGTGGTTTTGGTTTAGTTTTATAAACGGCAGTTTTAACAGACATACTAGCGTTGAATGCAGTTCTGCCAAGCATAAATAAAAGTAACAAAGTCTGAAAGGAATAAGGGGTATGGTATCAGATAGAAGGGAGTTTGTTGTAAATCTGCAGCCACCTGAGCAATAAGGTTAAGCAGTTTCATGGTGTTACTGCACTGCATCTTTTAAAACCTACAAGAATGCTGGGGGTTTGGGTCTTTTTTAAGTTAAAATTTTCATTTCTCAGGGCTGCAAATATGCATCCAATTGACAAGTGGTAGTTATAGAAAAATGCCAATTTCTTAATGTGGATTTGCACTGGACAGTAGCTGTATGAACATAGTGTAGTACTCTGCTGGCAGCAAGAGTTGCAGTAGTGTTTGTTGTGTGGTATTTTTGTAAATGGAAAAAGATCGTGTCTCAATTTATTGCTCTTACTACACACTTAATTTTACTGCAGCTTAACATGCAAATCACATACAATGATGATTTATGTGGTTCTGTGTTTTTTTTCCACTGGCATGAATCTTCATATTAAAGAAACCACTAGTGAGTGTAGAAAATAGCATGTAATATTACTGTATGTGATAATGGGTGCTATAGTGGTGTTCACCTAGTCTGTTTTGGAGTTGGGTTTTTCTTTTTCCTTGTTTTGACTTTCTGTAATCAGTAAGCACCTGATAGTATTCTAGAAACTGGTCTTCTCCATGGTGTCAAACTATGTGTGCACATCTACTTAAGCACTAATCATAAATGCAAGTCTAAATAAGGGGTTTATTGTCCATGTAGGTTGTAAAATGCATGTAGATTCTATTCTGTAAAAACAAATTATTTGAAAAGAATTACGAACAAAATAATATGTTCTTGGAAGAGCTGTATACACACAGAAGTGGATGTATTATATTGCAAAATTACAGAATGGTTTGGGTTGGAAGGGACCTTAAAGATCATCTAGTTCCAATCCCCTGCCATGAGCAGGGGCATCTTCCACAGGACAGGTTGCTCGAAGTCCCATTCAGTCTGGGACACCCAACACTTCCAGGGATGGGGCATCCACAGCTTCTCTGGGCAACCTGTTCCAGTGTCCCACCACCTTCAAAGTGAAGAATTTCTTCCTTATATCTAATCTAAACCTACCCTCTTTCAATGCAAAGCCATTCTCCCTTGTCCTGTCACTACATGCCCTTGTGAAAAGTTTCCTCCTCAGCTCTCTGGTAGCCCCCTTTAGCTTCTGGAAGGTGCTATAAGGTCTCCTCAGAGCCTTCTCTTCTCCAGGCTGAACAGCCCCAACTCCCTCAGCTTGTCTTCACAGGAGAGGTTCTCAACCCTCTGAGCATCTTCATGGCCCTCCTTTAAACTCACTCCAACAGGTCCATATCTTTATTTTCTTGGGGACCCCAGAGCTGGGTACAGTAGTCCACGTGGGGTGTCACGAGCAGAGTAGAGGGGGAGAATCACCTCCCTCGACCTGCTGGTCACACTGCTTTTGATCCAGCCCAAGATACAGTTGGCTTTCTGGGCTGCAAGTGTATATCACTGAGTCGCATTGAGCTTCTCATCAACCTAACCATTATATGTACTTGTCATCTCTTGAAGAATACCTATTAAAATAAAATCTTTTAAATCATTAGTTTAATCTGTCTTAATAGTTCTTTTCATTTGATTGACAATTAGAAAATTAATGGGAAAAAGCCAGTTAATGCCATACTCAGCTTCAGGATTGAAAGCTGTTCCTTATTTTTTTTCCGTAATGATAGAAATATATAAAATACTGGGGGAAAGGTCAGGATGAATTGCACTCTTGCATATATTTTGTTGTTATTTGTCTTGTTGATAAAGGTTTTGTAAACTATTCTGTTTCTTCTAGTGTAGAAGATACCACCATTTGAAAACGTAACGCTTAAGGGAACATATTGGGTCACGAGATCCTGTCCATTGCAGTTACAGAGAACCATGTCATATAATCCCAACCATAAACTGATCGTATCCCAACAGGACAACAGTTATTCTTTGTCCTCACTACTCACATAGAGTGTTGTCCTGCAAATTCAGGTTAAAACTATTCTGATTTCCAGCTACAGCGTGCTTGTGACCGTTTCACAGGCAATTGTAAAAGTACAGTTTTCTTTCAGCTGTCAGAAGTGAGCTGCGCACCAAGGCAGAATTTAAGAAAACACTGTCAGCTCTGTCTCATTTTTCATCTAAGACAATTAGGCTTTTTTAAGACCTATTCTTCCCTGCAGCTTATCACTAAGTTTCTTGGCATGTTGTATTCTGCACGTAATAGCTGGTATGCAGCAAGTCTCTCTGGACTTTAACAGTTTCAGTCCTACCAAAGCTTCAAATGCCACGAGATTGCCTTCCTGAAACCACTCAGCAGTCACTTTAATTTTTTTTCTCCCCAGGTAGGGCAGGGTCTCCTAACAATATTTAAGTGGTTTGCATGTTTCTTCCTCACAGCTGCCTGTAGAACAGAGCATACCAGGGCACCCTGTACTGTGTTGATTCTGCTTTCAGCACATATTTGCTAGGTTATCTGTTTCCTCTTGTAATTTTACAAAAGGGATGAAAACAAATGCATCTTGGCAAGTTGCTGTGTGCATATGCACAAACATGTGATTTATTTGTGAGCAGCAAGTGGCACCACGTTACTTGCTGTCAATGAAGGTGACTGCACCACTAACATTACTTTCTACGTAGAGGTTAAGATCTTAAATGAAGTTGTGCATAGCAGAAATACACTGGTTTGTACTGTATGTGATTTATGAATTGGAGGGCTGTCAGGTCCTAACGAGAAACAATTTGTTCTAGATGATCCCAAAGCTGTAACTGATTGTTCTGATATAAAGAAAGCCTCAACTGTGAATGCATTGACTCGTATTTAGCATAGATTTCTTTTTCTTACAGTGCTTTTATGGAGTATGTAGTCTTTGCTGAAAGAAATGCAAGGGTTTAATTTGCATGAAACTTGGGGACAGTGACTTCTAGATATAAATTTCTGATTGCAAAAATGTTTTTTGTCCAAAAGATAAGTAGGAGTTTAATACAGCAAAAAATGTTGACCATATACTACTTTGAAAAATAACAAATATAAAATCTGTGGTCATAACTCAGTGATATTATAACATTTTAAAAAATTCTTTGGCATCTGCATCTGATGTTAGTGTTAAACCAAAAATTCCTAAAAATGAAATCTGTATCTTTACTGAAATTTGTAGTTTACCTAGTTGAAGGAGAGCTACTACACTACTGCATACTTGGTAACCCAGTAATTTTATTTTTATATTTTAAAGAAATCACTAAAATAATTAGTACTTTTAAGTACTAATATAATAAGAAAGAATAAATCTGCAACCTGTTTTATAATGGTTACACTTTAAATTCCTCACTTAAGCATCTCCTAAATAAATTGGTATTTGATTTATTAGTTGTTATCTGCAAGCTTATAAGTACTCATTTTGTTATTTGCCATTTTATTTTTGATTTTTTTTTTTTTTTTTTTTTTTTTTATGTACAGGATGTGAATGAAGATCCTGGAGAAGATGTTGCACTTCTCTCTGTTAGTTTTGAGGATGCAGAAGCTACTCAGGTTTTTCCGAAGCTGTACCTCTCCCCACGTATTGAACAGTGAGTGAGACAGGTTTTTTTCTGGAATGTTTATTCTACTTCATTTCTGAACTTTGCAGTTTTTTCCTGATATGTGTGAGAAATGTTGACTAGGTGATAACATGCTATTGCTTCAAATTGCTGAAAGTTATAGTGATTACTGCAAGTGTATGTGTGCTGGAGAAATGATAGATCTTCTTTCAGCTAGTTTTGTATATGCCTGATGTTCTTGTAGCATCATAATCTCTGAAAACAATACTGTATTTTCCTGTAGCAGTATATTTTGAATGCCTCCTATGGTACAGCTGATAGCTTTTGTGAGGGGGGGTTCTATTTGGAAGGTAAGTTCTCTGTATAAACATAATACATTTGAATAAAGAATTGTTGTAGCAGCTAAAGGGCTTTGTTAGCTGTGTTTTAGGAATTTGCCGGTTTATAGGTTACTTTTCTCAGAAGAATATCTGAATATTTTATTTTAGGAGTGTTGAACCTTACTGATTTGTTTACCAGTTGGCAAAGAGATTTGCTGAGAAACAAATTTCTGCTCCTAAAATGGAAGGGTGATGATTAGAAATCAATCTGTTTTCATTAAATTTCTTTTATTCCTTTTCTGGAATTAAGAATGTTTTAAATGCTTCTCCTTCCCTTCAGTATCTCAGACTGTAATGTGTCAAAAAAGTAACTATGTTAGACATTTCAAGTATATCACAATCAAACTGATCCAGCATTGTTTGAGTGATGCGTTAATTTTTTGGTTAATACTGCAGTTACTTTCCTCCGAACTGGTGATGATTCTTCTGTGTAGAGAAGAAAAGATAGGAAATACTGACTACTACAGTTTTATAATAACTTGGGGATAAAGTTTGTGCGAGTGAAGAAACATGGTATCTTGACATTTTACTCAACAGAGCATTGATCTGGATAAACTCCTGGATGCAGTTCACACAACAAAAAACAGGATTTGATTTAGATAAAGGCATAAGACTTTAGGATACTTTATTTAAGAAAATACATTCAAACAGACAGCATATATTGGTACCAGGAGCAAGATTGGGATAGAGATTGGAGCAGGGCCCTGGACATGGGTCATAGGACCAGGACTGGGATTGGGATCAGGATGGAGAGAGAATGCAGGAGTGGGGTCCTGAGCATTTGTCATAGAACTAGGATTGGGCAGCCGTGACCAGGATGGGACTGGGATCGGAGCCCTGGGCATAGAACAAGGACTGGGCCCAGGCAGGTGGGAGCAGGGCAGCAGCCTCAGGGCCTGGGACACAGAGGCACTTCCTGCTGTGTCAGGGCTGTTAATACCAACAGTCCTTAGATGTTACCAGGAGTCTTTGGTTGGCTCCACAGCCATCCGGTATCAGTGTTTGAGATATACACATTCTCTGACCTCCTGGGAAGCAAGAGCTCCAAGGGTCTCACTTTGGACTGCTGTTTATAGAGTTGTTAGAGAGTGGGCTTTAGTCATAGCAATTTTCTGCCTGGCTACAGTTCGAATCAGGAACTCTCTTTGAAGATTCAGTAGCAAAAATATTATCCCACTTGGGTTGTTATTCAGGCAAGAAGAATGAGTTTCCAAGTCTGCTTGTTAAAAAACAGGTGCTCGTTAGACACCTGTTAGTCCCTGGGAACAGACAGTGTTTCTGATAAGCTCAAGAGGCCCAGGGCTGGGCTGTGACTGTCAGGGTGCGCAAAGAGTCCTCGGCCTCATGCTCTGAGCTTATGTAGTTTCACAGAGTATAAATCAAAATATTCAATAATTCCTCATGAGGGGCAGCACTGATCTCTGCTCTCTGTGTGACCAGTGACAGGACCTGAGGGAACGGCTGGAGCTGTGTCAGGGAAGGTTTAGGTTGGATATTAGGAAAAGGTTCTTCCCTCAGAGGGTGGTCAGGCAGTGGAATAGGGTCCTCAGGGAAGTGGTCATGGCCCCAAGGCTGAGAGAGCTCAGGGAGCTTTTAGACAACAGTCTCAGGCACATGGTGGGATTGTTGCGGTGTCCTGTGCAGGGCCAGGAGTTGGACTTGATGATCCTTGTGGGTCACTTCCAACTCAGGAGATTCCATGACTCCTGGTATTTAGTAGCTTTTACATTTTCATATTTTATATCAATTCACTACTTTTTGTCAGCATTAATTGAGGGAATAATTGTAGTCCAACATGTAATTATCCTTCCATGTTTCAAAGGATTATTCTTCTGAGCTCTTCTAAAAGCAAATGGGCTGCCATTAGTCACCATTGTATTTTCAGTTGTAGTCACATATTGATGTTTAAGTATGTCTGTCTAAATGATCCATGAGCTAATGAATACATTGCTTATTTTCCCACTTTCAATAATAGTATCTTTAAAAAGGTGTTAACCTCTTGATACCAAGCAGAATAGCAATACAAAGGAACTCTTTTTCTTCTTAAAAGTACTGCATTTTCTCTCAGAGCCCTAAAGAATATCTCATGTTAGATGTGTGATGTAGAGCGATACAGCAGAAAAATATTTGGGGGGTGTTGGTACGTGTCTGACATGTCTGATGTATTTATGGCTTCATCATTTATGTAGTCATGTTAAAATCATGCCAGTAAACACTGGAGTTCCATGCCACACCATGGCACATTACTGATGTATCAAAGTCAAGATACTTCACTCATCTAACTCAATTTCATCACAGTATCTAGGTACCTGTAATACCAGAGCTGCTTGTGAGCTGTTGCTCCTCCCTTAGTTCTACTGGCTACTTTTTTATGTGCCATGAAAAAATGTATGGGTATGCTTCTAATATTTGTTCAATTGTGCTTTAATAACAAAAGATGTAGTCGTCTCTTGTTCTTTTCCCAAAACCAATCTCCACTCTGTTTAGCAGGGGCTGACAGTCTAGATATTTAACTTTCCAATGTTTGGGAACTGAAGCAACAATGCATACTTCTTTATACTTTTTGCCAAAAGTACAAAAGGCCTCAAGAAGCCCTGAGGATTAGTTTAATGACTTGAGTCCACGGCATGTTACATTTGAATTGTGTTCTGCTTATAAAAGTTCTTTCCTGCTGCTAGCAGTAGTTGTATCTACAAAAGCCATGTAAGCAAATTACCGATGTATTTTTTTTTTTTTATGCAGCAGATTTTGAAGTGAACTAAGTAGTGGTTGATAGTTCCCAACATAACATCCCCAAGTACTCAACAAAACAGGAAAAATACCGAATTCCCACAATTATTTTGCTAATACTAAAATCTGTTCACCTTAGGAAGAACAAGCAAACAGGAATAGCATTTTCCTGACACATGAAATAACATGTCAGCTTTGTAGAGAAATAAGAGCAAAGGGCCTGTTTGTGTAACGTGAGTTATCTCCTGCTTTCCCAAGAGGTTTCATTGCTTTTGTGCTTTGCCATATAAACATGCATTCCCACATTGCATTTTCTAAAAATGATACATACCCACAGATCTTGTCAGCAAATTTGAGTCCTAGCAATATGAATATAGTTTTTTTGTTTTGAAGGGTTTTTGTAAAGCATGATTGCTCTGGTTTTAGATGTATAGCAAACATAATACTAGCAAGACTTTGACTGCACTTTGTCATAGACTCTGGAAGAGATTTCCAAAATGAGGGAAATGTCCACCTTTTATGGTTTGGCTTGAAAAAGCTCACATATTGAAGCAGGGGGTAGAAATGCAGTAGAGGAGTATTATGGTGTGATATGTGGCTACAGAGTGTCAAGTCCAGTTCTTACAGTAAAACAACCAACCCCACACTTTGGGACAGGAAGCGTTTGTATTAATTTTTAAAAATCTCAGCAATAACTATTCATAACCTGGTTTAATTCTTTCATTAAAACTTGCTAATTTTGAAAACATTTATTTCAATACTAATTGTTTAAAACACATTAACAGCAACTTTTAGTTAATAGTTCCTTAACTTGAAATCAGTCACTTAGAAAAGCTTTCGTTTTATAATTTGAAGAATTTTTCTTTTTCTTTGTTGTGCTGCATCAGTAAGCATATAGATGCCAATAACAGTTGCTTTCAGTTATTTCAAAAATTAGATCAAGTTAAAATGAAACATGAGATTTTATGATTTGTATTTATTTGAAGAAAACCTACCATTTTTACTCTAGTATCATAGAAAACAGTTTTTGCACACTTCTGGAGGAAGTGGTAAGCTGAGAAACTGCACAGACTGACCACACAACTTGAGAGGATGGTGCTCATCAGCATCCATGTGTGTGTCTACAGCTCATCCTTCACCTCCTCCCACCTCAGGGTGTGGGACTTGTTGCAGGATGCTCTTCATCCTTCACTGATAGCTGCTGTGCTTTGGGTGGAGGGTCATACAGCTGAGCTAGGTAGGCACAGATGCATTCTGAGGCTGTTTCTGCACTCTTTGGCATAACGAGGAGCTGCTGGGATATTTACCCTTTATGTCTGTCGCATCTCACGTGTTATTCATAACATCTCAAAACCTGTCGGTAGAAAGCATCTTGCTTGTTCAAAATTGCCTTTCTAGTGGAAGTACATGAGATATTCATATGTTAATGAAATTTTTAATAAAACTGTCCATCGCATCTTTGTTTTCTGTTTATTAAAAGTCATTAGACTCTAAATCCAGGCAGTCAGTGAAGGATTGAACAGCCTATTTCTATATTAGTGTTTAAAATTTGTGTCAGCATACTACACATGAATGTGGATCAGAAGGTTCTGGATTTTTTTCTTAAAAGAAAAAAAATTATATATGTAATTTTTTTCCTTTCATGAGTCATCCATGCTAAAGAAAATAAAACTGGGTTCATCTTGGTTCACATTTTAAGAAAAAATATATAAGGGTAGAAACACTGTTACTCAGTGAGTTCTGTCTTCCCTGTGTTCACAGAAATAATCCTGCAATAAACACTGTTGTCCTGGAGGGCTTTTCTCTGATAAATACGCAGACGTGAATATGCTAAGAAAACCAGCTGTCAGTAGAACTTGTTTTGCTTAAATGGATCAGGCTCCATGCTTTGGGGACTGAAATGGTCGTTTTTTACTGGTC